TTGGGAGGCTGAGGCATGAGTTTGATGTTACAGTGAGCTGTAAAGATGCCACTATACTCTAGCTTGGGTGACTGAGCAAGACTCTTGTCACAAAAAAAAAAAAAAGAAAAGAATAAAAAATAGTTGAGAAAGAATCTAAACAATTAACTTAATTGTACCTTCATATTAATCTGAAATTTTAAAAAAGTCTTTCAAAAAAATAGGAAAAAAATGTGATTCCAGGTGCACTGGAAGGAAATACCATATCATGGTTTTAAGTGTATCTAGTCAAATCTGAATGTCATCTGATCATCTGAATGATACACAACATCATCCATTTAACAACATGATACAGGAGCCCTTCTGTAACAATTGGAACCCTAGGCTGAGCATTGTGGGTCACACCTGTAATCCTAGCACTCTGGGAGGCCAAGGCAGGTGGATCACTTGAGCTCAAGAGTCAGACCGAGACCAGCCTTAGCGAGAGAGAGACCCTGTCTCTACTAATAATAGAAAAACTAGCCAGGCACCTATAGTCCCAGCTATTCAGGAGGCTGAGGCAAAAGGATCCCTTGAGCCCAGGAGTTTGAGGTTGCTGGGAGCTATGATGCCACAGTACTTTAGCCGCAACAGAGTGATACTCGGTCTCAAAAACAAACTAAACAAACAAAAACCCTACAAAACCCACCAATTGGAACCTTCATGTATTTTTTCTCTTTGAACTTGTATTTACATTTTACTGCTATTACAGAAATTTATACTAAAGTAATATATTTTTTATTCTTGAAAATATTTTACTAACTACCCTATTATACTTCTGCAACAAAATATATGAATTGTTTCATTGTTTTCAATTTCATTAAAATTTTAAAAAATGTTCTTTCTAGATTGAGTTATCACTATAATAATCTATAGTACATAGTTGTTGACACATTCGCCCTCAGTAGAGTGCCGTAGGGTCACAGCCCACAGCAACCTCCAACACTTGGGCTTAAGCGATTCTCTTGCCTCGGCCTCCCAAATAGCTGGGACTACAGGCACCCACCACAATGCCCAGCTATTTGTTGTCGCAGTTGTCATTGTTATTTAGCTGGCCGAGGCCGAGTTTGAACCTGCCAGCCTCGGTATATGTGGCTGGTGCCGTAACCACTGTGCTACAGGCACCAAGCCAAGAAAGAAATGTGTTGATTAATAATTCCAAGAGTAAAATTTTATTTAAAAAACATGCCTTAATATATGAATAGGACATACACTTTATGAGTTCACCCACATATCTATGGTTGAGGGCTGTGTATTGTTAAAAGGAGACAATTCCTGTTGTTCCTCCTATAGTCACCACAAACAAACTGGCAAGATTGGGTTTTGTTTTTTTAAAAATATTTTTTTGAGGATGGCGCCTGTGGCTCTGAATAAGGCGCCAGCCCTGTATACTGAGGGTAGTAGGTCCAAACCTGGCCCCAGCCAAACCACAACAAAAAAAAAAATTTTTTTTTTTTGAGACAGGGTCTTGCTTGTTGCCCTGGCTTGGCCTCTGAAAGTGCTACAATTACAGGCATGAGCCACTGCACTGGGCCTGTGATCAGGTTAATTGACTCAAAGCAGTGAAGGCGACTGTACCCAGTGGAACTGTGAAGTGTGTCCCCAAAGAAAGATAGAGCTGTTACAGGGATTGGGGGAAGGATGGAATCTAAAGGCAATTTAAGTGTTGATAGACTCAGAACAATTCAGAGGGCTGTGTGCAAGGGAGTCAACCAACATCCAGTCTGGCTGGCAAAGTAAGCCAGGTCCTGTTTCCTTAGAAACAGCAAAGTTAAGATAAACGTGGAATGTCATGTCCAAAACCCCTTCACTTGAAGCTCTGCAGCTGGGTCGGAACTCCAGCCTGCTTCTTCGTGTCAATCCTTAGGCATGAGGGGATATTTCATTCTTCAACTGCTATTAATTTCAAACAGCAGAGTTTCTGATAGTTTATGATTTTAGAGAACAATGTCAATTCTTAGTTTTTGCTTTTTTATGTAAGTACTGAGAAATCTAGGCCACCTACACTCTAGGCATGGAAAGAATTTTGATATGGCATTGCCACTCAGATTTGGACTACCTTCCAAGTTACATACCAAAATACAGAGAATAATTTTGTATCATATTTAGTGATCTGTTCATTGACAATTCTGTCAGACCCTCTTTTAACTCTATTGAAAGCAAGAACGAAAGTGCCCAACTTGCAGGATGATGTGTTACCTAGCTTGTTTGTTTTCTCAGATCCACACCAAAATTCCAGACATCCCTTTATTTGGCACCTGATATGTATTCACACTTGGTGTAACATCTGGGATGGGTGAGAGGTCTGGCTTGGTTTTGTAAAGTGAGAGGAAAGTAAATGTGTAAAGAGGCATTTGAAAGTCACTTTCTAAGGAAAGCACATAGGTGGAAGGTGAGGATCTGGGCACTCCCTAAAACCACCCCCATGCCTGGTTATAACTCATGGGTGACCACTGTGCTGTAGGGGGGCTTTCTAGCAGCCAGTGCTGTGTATGCCATGGGTGGCAGAAGGACCGGAGATGACATTTGGTCAGGGCTGTCCAGTCAGTGGCATTCCCTTAAGAGAATGGAACATTCGAGGGCTAAACTAGTCACAATTTGTATTGTATCAATAAATTACCTTAAGGAAATGCCTTTTTCTATTTTGGTTCTCTCATTAATGATGCACTAGAAAAATCTTGCTTTTGTTTCTTATTTATTGTCCCCCCCCTTCCCCCATCCTATTTTTCTCTCTCTCTTTCTCTTTTTTTTTTTGGCCAGGGCCAGGTTTGAACCCAATACCTCCAGTATATGGGGCCGGAGCCCTATACCTTCAGCCACAGGCACTGCCCCTATCCTATTTCTCTTGAAGGAAACAAAAATCTTCCTTTTTTTTTCCTTTTTCTCCCACTTCTTTTCTCTTCCCCTTTTTTTTCTCATTTCTAACAAGAAGTCAGACACTAGTTAGTTATAAAGTCCAGTGGATGGTTTGAGAGGCTTGTTGACTCAGCTAAAATCCCTATGGTCTTAGGGTATGAGGTTTTTTTTCCTCTTGTACTCAGAACAATATGTGAATGCTGTTTTAATACAATGGATGTATTAAAATATATGAATTGTACAATGTATGTACCAGTTCAGACAGTTAAGCTTGTGAACATGCCACCATGCACTTATGTGGGCAGCACTGTACAAACAATTCTGTAAGGTTTTATAACCTTGGCATATCAGTGTTTCACAGCTGTGTTCATGTTGATGTGTGGCGGGCTCTTGCTGAGCGTTCATTATTGCTTTTGCATGTTTTTTGTGTGCTGTCACAAGACATCAGAGCTTGAATTAGAGCAATGAATAAACATTAAATTTCTTGTTAAACTTGGCAAGACTGGAAGTGAAATCAGGGACAAGTTAGTCTAAATTTATGGGGATAATGCCATGAAGAAAACGGCAGTACACAAATGGATTAATAGTTTTTCTGAGGGGAGAGAAAGCGTCACTGATGATGAGAGGACCGGGTGACTGGTAACAAGCAGTGCTGACAAAAACACTGCAAAAATTTGTTGGATTGTGGGTTAAGATTTTTTGCTGACTGTGAGAAGCATAGCAGAGCAAGTAAACATCGCTAGAGAAAGATCTTAACTGAAAATCTTGGCATGAGAAAAGTGTGTGCAAAAATGGTCCCAGAGGAGCTCACTGATGAACAGAAGCAAAGGAGAGTTGAACTTTGCCAAGATCTTTTGGTGAGGCAAGACGATGTTTTGGACCATGATGTTGCTGATGATGAAACATGGGTGTACCAATACAACCCTGAAAGAATGCATCAAAGTGCACAATAGAAGTCAGCCAATTCTCCATGACCAAAAAGTTCCATCAGACCAAATCAAGAATCAAAACAATGTTGCTAACCTTTTCTCATATCAGAGGGATTTTTCATTATGAATTTGCACCAACCGGACAGTTGACCAAGTGTACTATTTAGACCTACCAAAAAGGACGTGCATGTACTATTTGTACTTGTAAAAGATGAAAATGACCTGAACTTTTAACCAGTAACTCATGGCTCTTGCATCATGACAATGCCCCTGCTCACATGGCACCGTTTGTGAGGGAGTTTTAGCCAGTAAACAAATAACTGTATTAGAACACCCTCCCTACTCACCTGATCTGGCCCCCAGTGACTTTTTTTCTTTACCTGAAGATAAAGGAAATATTGAAAGGAAGACATTTTGATGATATTCAGGACATCCAGGGTAATCTATGGGTCACTGTGAAAGTTTTCAGACAGTCTATGTTATGGTCCATTATTTCACTTCCCAGAAACACGGCCGACAGTGACCTTTCTGGTTCACTCCCGCAAGTTTCAACTTGCTCAGCTTATCAGCGTTACTGGCAGGGCTTCATTTGTTTCTGTTCGTATGGATTTTACATTTCTTGATTTTTGTATATCTCAAAACTTTCATAATGACCACGTATGACAACAGCTCTAATGGCCATTCCAGAAAAAGTGTTCCAAAATTGCTTTGAAGGCTAGGCTAGGGACTGGCATCAATGCACAGCTTCCCAAGGGGAAAACTTTGACTGTAGTGATATTCAGCAGTGAGGTGGGTAGTACTTTTTCTAGGATACGTTTGTGAACTTAACTGTCACACCTCATCTATGCTTTGACTTAAAATTTCAATCATGAGTAAGGCAATACAATCACAAAATGCACTTTACAATCATGTCTCCTACCCATTGAAAGAAATTCCTATTTGCAGCACATACAAATTCTAGACAATTGCTTCTCAAAATTGCCTTAGTCACAGAGGCCAACCTGTGGCAAAGTGTTACATCTTGAGTTGTCAGAAACCAGATGAAAGAAGTGAGTACAAAAATTCAGAATACCCTGTTTATGAGAATTGCGATTTTACTTTGGATATAACTTAAGAAGTAGGTACTTGCTGAAGAAGTTTGTTCGGTTTGCTAACCTGAATCTCATAACTCCGCTATATCTGGTCCTTCTCTTTCAGGTTTCATTTCCAGGGACCCTGTGGTTCAACTCTTCCTGAAGCGCTTGCCCGTCATGAAAATGAAACTGTTTCTTAAGTCTCCTAGGAAAGAGAAAATACACTATGTCTAAGAACTAGACCACAAACAGGAGAAACTGTCTTGTGGGTAGTGAGTGAAATACTGGACTGTCTTAAAATACCCTCTGATTCCCTGGCAGGAATCCAAGCTGTTGGTAAATGGTGGGAAACTGAGAAGTAGCAAGAGCAAATGTATTTAAGAAGTTAGACGATTGTGGGGTATGGTGGCTCATGCCTATAATCCTAGCACTCTGGAAGGCCGAACCGGGTGGAGCTCAGGAGTTTGAGAACAGCCCAGGCTGAGGAAGACCCTGTCTCTACTAAAAGTAGAAAAAACTAGCTGAGCTTTGTGGAAGCGCCTGTCAGTCAGCCCAGCTACTCAGGAGGCTTGAGGCAAGAGGAACTCTTGAGCCCAAGAGTTTGAGGTTGCTGTGAGCCATAACACCACAGCATTCTACCCAGGGTGACAGAGTGAGGCTCTGTCTCAGAATTAAAAAAAAAAAAAAAGCAAACAAAAAAGTTAGAGAACTGTGAAGTGAATTCATGCTGTCTGATTGAACTGAAGCATAAGATACCTTTGATGTATTTGGTTGGTTATTGGGAGGGAACAAATTTTATAATTGTCTAAAAGATGTAATTTTCCTGATTCTATTTTTGCCAAAGATAGAAATAAAGGGGTAAAACCCTGGCATTCAGTTTTGATCTTTGAATACGTTTTAGTGGAATGTAAAGTCATTCTCTACCATAGGTAGTTTATCCTATAAAGATGTTACCCCAGGAGATGTCTTTGCGGGAGGCTTTTTCTTTGCAGCTGCATTTACCTGGTCTGCTTTTCCTCAGAGAATAGGAGATAGCTGACTGCGGGAATTCAGTGCAAGGGTGGAAGAGAAAAATACTGACAGACAAGGGAGAAAAGCAGAAGAATGACGTGTATGTGGATCTCAGGAATAACACAGCTCGGCTCGGCACCCATAGCTCAGTGAGTAGGGCACCAGCCACATAGACCAAGGCTGATGATTCCAGCCGGGTGGGCCTGCTAAACCACAATGACAACTACAACCGAAAAATAGCTGGGTGTTGTGGCGGGCACCTGTAGTCTCAGCTACTTGGGAGGCTGAGGCAAGAGAATTGCTTAAGCCCAAGAGTTTGAAGTTGCTATGAGCTGTGATGCCACAGCACTCTTAAGAGGGACATAGTGAGACTGTCTCTGTCTCAAAAAAATAATAATAATAACAGAGCTGGCTAAAATTTTGCTGTGGCCATCTTAGCAGTCAGGAGGAAAAGGAAGGTGATGGTTGACTGTTTCTCACTGTTATAAAGACAGAAGCATGCAGTCTCTGTGGGGTCTGCCAACCTCTCCCGGACACTGAATTCTGAGGTGAGTTTTTCCCAGGGGAAATGATGCCCTTACTACCTGGGAATAAGTGGTAAGAACTTAATTCTTTCCATAAGCCCCACCAGCTAATTCAGCACTTGGGGGCCCTTAGAATGCCTGCTACCCAGTAAGCATAAGGCAACTGCTTGGGAGGAGTGGACATTACTAACAGTGTATGTGGGTCAGGTGAGCCACGGGTGATTATGTACCTCTGCCACTTGCAAAGTTTAATAGTATTTAAAAGTATATTCTTTAATAGTATACTCTTGGCTTTTGTTAAAATAGGCAGCAAGACACTGTCATAGCATTCACAAGTCATAACTTTTAATAAATCCCAAATATCCTTCGTGTGGGGGAAAAGGGATGTCTGCAGCCTATAGGGAGTCTGGAGAACTAGCCAGGCACCCTGAGAGCCAGATTCAGACTTTATTCGGGTGGGCAAGAGATATATACCGAGGGCACTGCTAATAGCTGTAAGTAAGTTCTGTAATGCATACAATAGTTTTGTACACAAAATACTGTAGTACATACAATGCAGTTTTTGTACATACAGTACTATCACACACCTTTAATAGCTTTGTTGCTAATATGTTGCCAATTAACTCCATATATTTTTCTCCTATTAGCACCCTATCTCAGAGAGTCTGATTATATTTTGATTTGTAATTTCTTTTTTTTAATTTGTAATTTCTATCTGACCAAGGCCCAGAGGTTTCAGAACTGTTTTTTTTTTTTTATTTCTTACAGCATAACTATGTACATTAATGCAATCATGGGGTACAGTGTGCTGTTTTCATATACATTTTTAAATACTCTCATCAAACTGGTTAATATAACCTTCATGTCATTTTCTTAGTCATTGAGTTAAAACGTTCATACTCTGCTTTTAGAAAGATTCACTTGTACCCTTGTAAGATAAACCATGGAGGTGACCCCACCTATCACCCTCCCTCCCTATCTCAGAACTGTTCTTTGCAACTCCTCTCATACTAGACCTTTCGTTCCAGCAGCAATTTTTCTTGTGTTTTGTCATTTTTGTTCATGTTTCATTTTGTCTTTTTTTTTTTTTTTTGGAGCAGAGTCTCACTATGTTGCCCTTGGTAGAGTGCTGTTGTGTCACAGCTCACAGCAACCTCCAACTCTTGGGCCTAAGCGAGTCTCTTGCCTCAGCCTCCTGAATAGCTGGGACTACAGGTGCCTGTCACAATGCCTGGCTATTTTTCTGCTGCAGTTGTCATTATTGGCTCCAGCTGGGTTTGAACCTGCCACCCTTGGTATATGTGGCTGGCGCCATAACCACGGTGCTATGGGCACCGAGCCCACTTTGTCACTTTTAAATTGGAAATTGCTTCTAAATCAGAAAAGAATTGAAAATACAAAATACACGTGAGATAGAATTATTCAACTTAGCATTGATTAAACATTTGCTATATAATAGACATTAGAAATAAAATGGTTAGGAAGACCTGGATCTTACCCACAAGGAGTTCACAGAATGGATGGAAAACCCATCATGTAAATTACTATACAATGTGGCAACTACAGGAATAGAAATTTGTGGAAGCCTCAGAGAAGAGTACAATTAGAGATGGGCAGGGTGGGAAAGGGGTGGACATTGAAGGTGCTTGAAGTCAGGCTGAGTGGCAGTTTTTGAAGTGTAAATTCTACATGAGGCAGTGCCTGTCAGTAGAGGGACAATTCGTACAAGTGGGAAACAGCTTCATTTGTTCAAAGAATGATGAGTCATTCAGTATTGTATAACGGGGAAAGGAGGTAAACACGGCGAACACAAAGGGACTTGTATGTCAAGAAACAAAAACCAGTAGGACCTCCATAGCTGACCACCTCCCTCTCCTCATCCCCTCCTTGAGTTGACCTGATTTTCATAGGCTGGACATGCACCGCATGTATCTATCAGTACAGTAGGCCTCGTTCCTTCTGTTGACCAGTTGGTTCCATTCCCTTGGCTGGTCAACTTAACACAGGTTCTACTGCAAGAAGTGTGTATATCACAAAACTAATGAGCATTCAGAGGTAACGGTGAAGTCATTCTTGGAAGAAAAAAAAAAGGTCCATTCTTGGTCCATATGCCAAGGACCAGCCGCTGTTCCAGGTGGTGGGGTCGCGGCAGGAACCAGACACGGGCCCCACTTTGAGCTCCCACCCTGATGGGGAGCCAGATAATGAATATCAGAGTGGGGCCGGTGAGGAGCAGGGCTGCGGGCGGCCGGTGCTGAGGACTTTATTTAAGCCCGGGTCTGTGGATCTCGGCTGGGCCAGAGACAGCAGGAGCAATAACGTCCTTCCGCTGGAGCGCTTCTCCTCCCGTGAAAGCCCCCTCCTTGGGGAATGAGAGTATCGACAACTGTCCACGAATTGGACTGACCACGCGGCGACACAGCGACTGGGGCCCGCGTTTACCGGGTCTCTGGGAATCAGCGCGACCCGCGCCAGCCCAATCTTGCCATCCCAGCCGAGGAGAGTAGCACAGCGAATCTCCCCTGCCTGGAAAGTAAGCCCTTCTCCAGCAGCACCCGCAGGTGGATCGCTCAGGGGTGGCCTCCAGCTGGCGTCTCGGGAGCCGGGCGGGAGCATCTCACCGGCAGATCTCAGGCCACGCCCTTTCCTCTTTTGGTACCGGCGCCTCCGCCTGTAGAGGGGCCTCCAAACCTGAAGGGGGCGACGGAGCCCCCAGTCGCTCTCTGGTCACGTCACGCTCCGCTTGAGGCTGTTTCCGGGTCAGAAATCAAACGGTCCTGTGCTTCGTGGGCCATGGTGCAGCTGCGGCCGCGAGCGTCCCGCGCCCCGGCGTCGGCGGAGGCGATGGTGGACGAGAGTCAGCCGGCCTCGGAGGAAGAGGCGGAACATGGCTTGTTGCTCGGGCAGCCCAGCAGCGGCGCAGCCGCCGAGCCGCTGGAGGAAGATGAGGAAGGAGAAGACGACTTTGATGACGAGGCCCCGGAGGAGCTGACTTTCGCCAGCGCCCAGGCGGAGGCAAGAGAAGAGGAACGGCGAGTGCGGGAGACAGTGCGCAGGTTCGGTGCCGGCGCCCGGCGGGGAGAACTGCCCCTTCCTTTCCCGTCCCGCTTGTCCTTCCCCTCGCTGACCTGTCACCGCTTCTCCCAGGGATAAAACGCTGCTGAAGGAGAAGAGGAAGCGACGCGAGGAGCTGTTTATCGAACAAAAGGTTAGAGGGCAATAAGGTGTCTTAAACCCTCCCTGCTTGGGTAGAATTCCCGTGTTTGATGCGATTTGGGCTGCTAGGATATTGAAATGGGAAAAAGTTCACTAATGTTTCTTCTGACATTGAAAAGAAAGATGCTTATGCCCTTTACTGTCCATCAATTGAAAGCAGGACTTGGAAAAGTGAATTTGAAACCACAAGTGTTAGATGGAGACCTAACTCTGACACTTACCGGGCTATGACACCTTCCTTATCTGAAACTAGGTTGCTGTGAAGATGAGGTGATTTGTACAGAGTATGATTATTTTGCTGTGTTTCCTGGCACCTTTACCCACAGAGAAACTCCGGATACATTTGAATTTACAGTGACCTGAGGATTGGCATACTGCGGGCACCCTTTCCAATTTTCAATCTTCCAGAGAATGTAGATTCAGTTCTGAGATTTGTGGACCCAGTTTCCCCACCGCTTAGAGATAGCAGGAGTGGTATTCAGCGTAATTC